GATCACCTCGTTGGAGATGTTCCAGAGCTGGAAGCGCTGCAGCAGGTCGATGTAGGATGTGTACCAGTGCTCCTGGAGATGGCCACACACAGCTGAGCCTTGGCATCCACCCTCAAACCCCACTGGGTCCCAGCCCTGTCTCCCACAGGCAAGATCCATGCCTGGGGCACAGCTCCAGGCTGGGGGCACAGAGACTGGAAAGTGCCCAGTGGGAAAGGACCTGTGGGTGCTGGTCAATAGCAGCTGAACACAAGCCCAGGTGTGCCCAGGTGGGCAAGAAGGCCAAGGGCATGGGCTTGTACCAGCACCAGTGTGACCAGCAGGACCAGGGCAGTGGGTAGGCACCTCCAATCCTGGGGGCAGTTCTGAGCCCCTCATGGCAGGACCTGGAGAAAAGGAGGCTCAGGGGGAACCTTCTTACTCTCTCCAACTGCCAGGAGGGGCAGCCAGGTGGGGTCAGGCTCTGCTCCCAGGGAACAAGGGACAGGACCAGACGAAACAGCCTCAAGCTGTGCCAGGGGAGGTTTAGATTGGATATTTTGGAAATTCCTTGATGGAAAGGGTGGTCAGGCACTGGCACAGCTGCCCAGGGCAGGGCTGGAGTCACCACCCCTGGAGGGATTTAACAGCTATGTGGATGTGGCACTTGGGGACGTGGTTAGTGGTGCCTTGGCAGTGCTGGGGGATGGTTTGACTCAACGGTCTTACGAGATCATTTCCAACCTTAATGATTCTGTGATGCCATGATCCCAGCAGTGGGAGAACAGCTCTGCATGGCTGAGGAACATAATCCTTCCCAATTCCCCAGGCCAAGGCCCTGCAGACACCGCGCCAGGAGGTGAGCACAGGTGGGAGTACCTGTGTCTGCTCGTCGATCTCCCTGCGGATGCGATCCCCCAGCACGATGAGCACGGACACAGCTGTCTGCACGTCTCCCTGCTCGGCGTAGAACAGCAGCGTGTCCCGCACGATGGGGCTGAAGAAGTCGGAGGGCAGACGGTTCTCGTAGAGCGAGTGGGAGATGGAGATGAGGGAGAAGGACTCCACAGGGGTCAGGGATACCGTCTCGGCCTCGTTTCCGCTGACGTGAGGGGAGTCAGCCTTGTCCTGCAGGTGGTCCAAGGCCGAGGGGTTGTCCACGATTTCGTGGCGCAGGGGAAAGGCTTCCTGGGGCAGGCTGTACTCCTGCTCTTCAGCTGT